AAAAAAAAAAAAAAAAAAAGTATAAACATTCTAAGAAAGGAAAACGATTAAAATCGTAATACGCAATATATACTAATAACAGAAGATGAATGCAAGTCATGTTTGACTTCTGCAATTCCAAGAGGTGTTCAGAGTGGTTACCATCAGCGTGCAGACGCTTCTGATGACTGGGAACAACTCTTTAACATCGCTTAAAATGTGCCTACGAGACTGTGTGCGGTCGCTCAAGCCTGTAAACCTGTAATCCTTTGGGAGGTCGAGGCGAGAGGATCGCCTGGGTCCAGGGGTTCAAGACCAGCCTGGGCAACGTGGGGAGACCTCCTCTCTACAATAAATCAAAAAATAGGCACGTGGCATGCTCCTGTAGTTCCAGCTACTTGGAAGGCTGTGGCGGAAGGATCGCCTGAGCCCAGCAGGTCGAGGCTGCAGTGACCATGAGCCCCTGCACTCCAGCCTGGGCGACAGAGTGAGACTCCTACTCAAAAAAAAGAAAAAAAAAAGTGTCTACTTTTTTTGGCACCCCCAGTATTTTGACATCTGTTGGCCTGGACTTCTGATCTCTTCAGTGTACACTCCTCACTTTTGTGCCTCTTCTTGTTCTTCCTCTTCCTGTCTTCTTTTATTGTGTTCCTCTCCTTGGTTCCCTCTGAGACCTGCTCTCCAGCCACGGCCGGCTCTCCTCTTGCACACAGCACCCTGTCTCTCCATGCTGTGGGTGCCCTGACCCCTCCTGGGCAGAAGCATGGCTGCAGCGCTGTGCAGGCGACATGTCGTCCCCTCGAGGCTGCTCGGCGCCCCACATGCTCACCCTCCAGGAAGCCCTCCCACCCCGTGCTGTCAAGACCAAGGTGCAGCCGGCAGCCCCGGTTCCCCCCGGCCCCCTCGCACCCAGACTGACCTGATCAGCAGCTGCTGCTGTTCACGCGGTCTTCGCGCGTTGGTGTCAGCTCACAGGGCAGGACATGCTGGGCTGCTCTGCCTCCCCGGTGGCCTGGGAAAAAGACATTGCGAGGTCTAAGGGCACCAGGAAGAGGCTACCCGCCTGGACACAGCCAGACCTGCTCTCCCTGCTCCCTTCGGGAAGGGTCAAGAGGGAAGTGTGAATCAGCTTTGTCTAGTGATGCCTGAAGTGGCCCCAAGTCCATGTGACTGTCCTTCAGCCCTGGGGTTCTCAAGGGAGTTGGAGTCACCGCCACAGTGGTGTCCAAGGTGTGGGGTCCGGGCTTCAGGTAAACTGAGCCCGGTTGATCTAATATGCTGAAAGAATAAGCTTCTGGACTCCTGGGTCTGAGGGAGGAGGGGCTGGGGCCTGGACTCCGGGGTCTGAGGGAGGAGGGCCTGGGGTTCTAGACTCCCCTGTCTGAGGGAAGAGGGGCGGGCGCCTAGACTCCCAGGTCTGAGGGAGGAGGGGCCGGGGGTCTGGACTCCCTGGTCTGAGGGAGGAGGGGCCAGGGGCCTGGACTCCTGAGTCCTGGGGAGCAAGACCTGTTTGTTCCTCACTCTTTTAAGACCTGTCACGTTTTGGCCCCCCGGAGGCTCTCACTTACCTGCGCACCTTCCCTGGTCCTCTGCTTGTCTGAGCCGATCTCAGGCTGGGGCCAAAGTTCCCTGAGGTGGGAGGGGCTTGCATTTGACTTCGCCCCCGCAGGGGGAGGGGGAGGGGGCTGGAGCTGACTCAGCTCTTTCTAGGGATGGCACCAGTGGGGCAGGGAGGGGACTTGGGCCTCCATCTGGAATCTACTGCCTGTACACGGTGATTGGCGAGGGGCAGGGATTTCAGCAGGGGCACTTCATGCCCTTTCTAGATGTACTGGGGCTGGGACGGAGCAGGCCAGAGGGAACTCCCAAGTGCACGAGGTGGTGAAGGGGTGGCAGGGCCCCTGTTCCTTCTGCTGCTCTCATCACCTTCCTTATTTCTCCACCCCAGATCTGGGCCCGAAAACTTCTCCCTGCCCCTTGGCTTCTGTGTGGCCCCAGGAGATATGCCTCCTCCAATTTCAAGGTGAAAGGAGGGCACTGTGTGATTGGATGAGGGAGGAGGGGACTGGCACCTCCAAAAGGTCCACGGCCCAGGGGTGAAGGTGGGTGAGAGTGGCGTAGCCCGAGAACCTGCCATCAGGCTGTGGGGAAGTGATGAAACTACATGTCCCAGAAGCCTCTGCAGCAACAGGTCCGTCTCTATGGGTGTGAGGCCCAGGGGGTTATGGGAGTTGTAGTTTTTCCATTTGGAGGGTGTGATAGGGATTCCAGGACACCCAGGTACCCTGTCTTTTCTCAGGCTGCAGACCTGCAGCTAGAAATGACACAGAAGCCTCATAAGAAGCCCGACCCCAGCGAGCCCCTGGTGTTTGGGAAGACATTCACCGACCACATGCTGATGGTGGAATGGAGTGACAAGAAGGGCTGGGGCCAGCCCCGAATCCAGCCCTTCCAGAACCTCACCCTGCACCCGGCCAGTTCCAGCCTCCACTACTCCCTGCAGGTGGCGTGGCGGCTAGCGTTTGTCCCCTGTCTCTGTTTGCATCCCTTACTCCTTGCTGTGTCTCGTTCTGGGGTATTTCTTCTTTCTGTACACTCATCATCCCTTTTCTGAGGCCTCCCGTGCTCTGGCCCCATCCCCGGTGATGCTGGGTTCCCGGGATGAGCAGAACTGATTCCCTCACTGGGAAGTCCCAGAGTTTGGTCATAACTCAGTGAGATCCATGGAGGCCCGTAGAGGCCCCTGGCCTAACTTTTTTTTTGGGGGGGGGAATCTGAATCTCACTCTGTTGCCCAGGCTGGAGTGCAGTGTAGTGGCACCATCACGGCTCACTGCAGCTTCTGCCTCCTGGGCTCATGTTACTCTTCCACCTCAGTCTCCTGAGTAGCTGGGACTACAGGCCGTGCCACCATGCCCAGCTAATTTTTTTTTAATCATATTTTTTATTTTAAAATTGTGGGGTACAGTTAAGGGTTAGGTATACAAATATGCATTGTTCAGGCACCCTTATT